AATTGTTTCTTCAGAAATGGAAGATGTTCAGCCCTGCTTCAAGCCAGGATCTTCTCTGTAACTGCTTTCCTGAGGTATAAATAGGATTTTGTTCTTGGAATGGATCTGTGTTTTCAGACATAAAAAGCATATAAATTCTAGGTATGAAAAAAACTGAAATCATGGGCCAGCAGGTGGTATGGTGGTTAATAATGGACTCCCACATGGTCAATTGTTGTTCAAATCCCAGACCTGGCAGCTTGCTTTCTCACTTTCTCTCTCCTTCTTTTTCTCTCTGGTGTATTAAAATAATAATAATAGTGGGAAAAAAAGTGGAACAAATCATTTTCTTTAAAAAAAAAATTGGAATTCTTTTCTTAATGCAAATGTGCCTACAATGTCATTTCTTCCTACAAAACAAGACAAAATAAGTTTATCATGACTACTTTTGTTAGTACCAGAGGGTGCATGAGCTTGCCAGGAAAATAGACAGAGACAGGGAGAAAGAGAGACCCCATCAATGGAGCATGGTCAAGTGGCATTCCTTTTACCTCCATTTCTCCATCCTTTCAGGATTTGGGGCATGCATATACACATGGTCATTATGTTTATCAAGCCATTAGGTTGGGATTTGAACCATGGTCAGCCGTGTGGGATCTGGCTCCTTATGTACAGCGCACTTAACCACTGTGCCTCGGGGTCAGCCCATAACTGTGACTACTATATGAACTTATGATATTCATTATTTTTTAATAGTTGTTATTTATTTGATTCTTACTTGCTATTAATAGCGCACAGTCCAAAGCTATTCATTACCCTACTCCCTCATCCTAGGCAGGAGTTATCAAATGTGTATCAGTGATAACAAGGAAGAAGAGACAAAAATTTATTGATAGTTGCTGCATTTTGATTGCTGTAAAGATTAATTTATTGGGCACCACGTAAAACCAAATAACTTTTATTAACTAGCATTGTTGACTAAACTACTTGTGATTTTATTCAGAGGCAATTTATCTCTTGAACTCTTTCAGCCTTCCTCAGCCTACCAGCATTTCCCTAACCTCTCATCTTCCTCTGAAATCTCAGAAGGGTCTCTCCTCCTACTGAAGGTTAAGCACTCAGTGTATAACTCATCCTATCTCTCTTCTAATTTCTTCATGAATCTTGGTTTCTGTTACAAAGAGAAAAGAGATTTCTGAGGCACCTAACACTCAAATCTAAAAATCTCTAGTACTTTATCATTTTTAGCTCTACTGATTTTGTGAGATCATCCTATTTGTGAAGACCCACAAATGCTGGATTTTTTTCAGTCCCTATAAGAGCTGTCCTCCTCAGCCTCCTCCTTCTGCTGAATTAAACATAAGTTTCTCAATAAAGAAACTCCCTTCTCAGTTACCAATGTCTCTTCGTGGAATCACAGAACTTCCTTTTTCTTTTTAATATATTTTATTTCAATGTCCTTTATACATTCAATCACATATGTCACTTAGCTTGCAAAGTGGATCTTCCAACATGTATACATTTCTCACCAATCCAGTTGGGAATACTATACACATCATCTTCAACAGACAATAACCCATCTCTCTGTCTCATAAATGCCCTGCCCCTCCATTTTTCTCCCCAAGAAATCACAGAACTTTCTAAATTGAGAATCCCAGAATAGACGCTCTTGACTCTTCAAAATAAATCTTTTACTACTGCCACTATCACTCAATGGAATGCGTGTCCCATTATTCTCCCAAAATACCACCTTATCCTATTTGCTTGTTCATAAAATAAAAGATGCCTCCTCACTGTCTACTCCACAACTCAGTTCCTTTGTTTAACTAGCAAGGACCTCTGAAATTCCATCTTATTCCTTCTGTCATAGAACACCCCATCTCTGTTCCATCCAACTAAAGTTCTTTCTCTCCCTGAACCTTTGTCTTTGTCCATCTATCCATCCTCTCCTCTCAGTTTCTTTCCCTGCTTTTGCCTACCTATCTAAACCTGTCAAAGCCCAGCCATTATCAGACACCCATCTCCTCCATAAAACCTTCAGCAACTGCAACCCACCATGATATCTTGCCTCTTCAGACTATAATTTTTTCTTCTTCTTTTTTTTTCTTTTTTTTTTTTAATCAATGACAGAACTCATGTGTGCACAAGAGAGTAGAAAGAGAGAGAGTTCTGGTCACCGATCTCCAGTTCTCCTCCTTCTTCCAGGCCTCCACCCTGCCAGATCCTGAGCACTTGTGAACACATCCAACAGGTTCAAGGAGGCTCCAGGATACAAACCAGGAACCTTCTTATGTGGGTCCGATTGTGTTGCCACTGCACCACCATCTGACCCTTTTTAGATTTTTATTAGGTTCATAGACAATTTCAAGATTTACAGATTTTAAATGTTCACCAATTGTTTCATCTTGACTTTATCTACCTAATTTAAATTGCTAGTATCTTTTAGGTACTATTCTTCCTATACACATACACACACACACACAACACACACATACACTCAGTGCTCTTTCTTTTAAGAATTATTTTATTTAATTTTACTTATTGTCATTATTTTATTTATTTGTTTGTTTGTTTGTTTGTTTGTTTATTTTATTGAAGTTGACCAGAAAGAGACAGAGAGAGAGAGAGAAGGAAAGTAAGAAAGCAAGCTGCCAGGTCCGGTACTTGAACCACGCTCAGCCATGTGGGAGTCCAGCCACCTTAACTACCATGCCACCTGCTGGCCCCATACACACTCAGTGCTCTTAATAAGGACTTTCGAATAATTTATTAATTGCTTAAATATGAACGTTTAGAGAAAAACACACCTATAAATGACTATAACATGCAAATTTACAATTGTCACAGACTAGAAAAGGAAGAAAAGACTGAAATTAATGAAGAAAAACACTTTTCTTTTTCACAATTGCTTTTACCCTCTTTTTTCATCATTTGCAAATCTGCTAAAGCTCCCCAACAGCCCCATCTTGATTTTTATTTTCTCTTCTTGTAACTGCCTGCCCTCTAGAGGCAGATGATAATGAATGACTAAAAATTAGCCAAAGAACAAAGTGGAGGTTTCTTTGTCAGTAATTCATAATCACAAAATCAGTAGCTTTTATAAAAGGTGGAATGATTTTAATAGAACAGCAAAACACAATTTGGACATAAGCAAAAATCTAGAAGACAAGAGAAGGAGGAAGAAGTGGTATGAATATTTGGAGTACAAAGGTCAGGGGCCAGACACAAGGTGGATAATTTAGGTTGTTTTTATTTTTCCCTTCCAGTGTTTTCTAAATATCTAGTCTACTAACTACCACTTTGCTTGAACTCATCAGCAAATAAGCAAACAATTAAGTGGGTAAACCAAAATAAAAACATATGTATGTTTTATACCTAAATCATGAGTTCTTTTGCTCTTTTGTAGATCCGTATTGTACAAAGTGAGTTATTTCCGTGTGGCATATTAATAACGAAGGAGTCTTAGTAATAAAGACATAAAGTCAATGCCCCAAGGGGTTTGCTTCTCATAATTCTAAATTATTTTATAGGGAATTTATCTTGCCAAATCACTGCATATAAAGTAAGTTGCCTTTTATGTTTTGATCCTAAATGTGTTGATAGCTTTATAATGATACAAGTATATACTTCAGAGATTCGATAAATGTCGTATCTCCTAGTTGTGCCCAGCAATGGTTTTAAATTTTAAACCTTTCAATGTTGAACATTCAAATTGTTGAATACATTTTCATCCTTTTTTTCCCCTAGTCCCTAAAGTAATAATGCTATTTGACACAGACAGCGTCTTGCCTACATGGCTTTCCTTGCCAAGTTAGGTCCTGCACAAGATCTCAACTACTGAGAGATTCAGATCGCCTGATTTCTTTTTAAGTGAGTACCATAACCCATTAAGTTTATAACTAAGAATTGGCTTCATGTTTTTTCAGTGTTAAGAATAGTGGTGCTTTCTTGAAAAGTATAATGGTTACGTATTGAGGCACACTGTCCATGCCAGTGTGTAGGGATGCTTACTGACACGCATTACTACTGAGGTGACTCCACCGCATCCTCCTAGGGTCTAACCTTGGGCAAATCATCTCACCTCTCTGAGTGTTTCTACCTTGGCAAAATGAGATCTCTTCCATGCCTACTTCACTGGGTTGTCCATGAAGACCAAAGAAGAAAATGTACATGAAAAGTCTTACAGAAAAGTACTGTAATAGAGTGCAAATATTCTACATGTGCTCGTCAGCACGATTAATATTTGGAAAACAAATTTTTTTCTAGACAGTATTATAAAGTTATTTGGAAATGAGGGGGGAGATACTTTTTCTTATTTCAATTATCAAATTATAAAATTTCAAACAAACTACACTGTTCCCTTGCAGCAGCTCCATCTACTAAAAGTGAAACCTGAAAACTCCCTCCCACATTAACTCCTACCAACCCTCTCTAGTGAAACCAGGACACCCCCACAGTACCCCTCAAATTCTCTATAACTCCTACAGGAACTTCAACATTGAGGAGGGTAGCCTCTGACCCAGAAAATGGGCATGTTCAAAATTAAGTCAGACATATACCACAAACACACCACCATACTCTAAGCATATCATATTCAAAAAGCACCTAGTCATAGAAAGGGGTAAAAAGCAATAAATTATCCTAATTGAGACTATTAATGTGGAGCTAAATGAGTAGAATTATTATTTATTTAAAAAAAAAAAACAGAAAATCAAAAGAACCCAAGCAATTTTTATTGCTACGGGTATGTATGTAATTTATTCTGTCCCATTCAAAAAAGAAGAGGGAGGAATAAGGAAGTGAGCAGTAAGGCAAATTATAGTGATGCATATATTACAGTAAGATACAAAGTAAAACAAAGGAGACACAGAGAAAATTAAGAACAATAAAATAAATCTGGGAGTGGCCCCTCTGTCTGTGATTGCAATTGGCTTCCATTCCCCCTTAAGAAAGGCAAAGAATACTCAGAAAGAGCTGAGATCACGTGTCTCATCATTTTCTCAAAGAGCATTCCAACTTACCAGCCACGAAGATGGTCAAACTCAGTAGGAGTACTAGGTCAGAAGTTCTCCAAGGACAGGGCATTTCTGTTTTCTTCGTGTTCGCCTCTCACTCAGTGTTTCTCCTCCACACAGGTAAGGAAGGAGCCGTGAGCATGGTGAACTCTCTGGTCAACTTCTCTGTGCTAGGTCCTTAGCCCTTCAGTAGCAGAGCATTCCTTTCCTCCTGGCTCCTTCCTTCAACTCTATGTGTTCCAGACTGATTAGTAACTTGGGAGAGAAGAAACTCTTCTCTGGAACTTGACACAGCAACAGATTTCCTGTACAAAGCAATGAAGCAAGGACGGAGGAAGCAGATTGATTGAGTTATCTTTCAGCTCATTGGTTCTCTTCTCACTTCTGCTGTACACAGATAAACTTTACAGTAAGGCACTGAACGTGACCGAGATCAACAGAGTTGTCTACATTGCAAGATGTTTATCTGTTTTGGGCCTTTGCCTGTAAGTTTCTGAATCATGATCATTTTTCAGAACTTTCTCCAGGTTGCAGCCTTAGTATTCAAGTCTGAAATAAAGTATCTTCCCTTGAAAATTCTTCTGTAAAATTACTGACGACAATGCAAGTCAACCCACAATCCTAGAAGCACCATAAATGCAATCATTTCCTATTGTTACTGCTACCATGTACCAACAATTCGGTGGCTTAAAAGGACGCAAATTTGTATCTGACAGTTCCAGAGATCAGAAGTCCAAAATAGATCTTAAGGGGCTAAAATTGAGGTTTTAGCAGGGTTGCATGCCTTCCAGAGGCTTGTGAGAATACATTTCTTACCTTTCCAGGTTCTAAAGAATGTCTGAATTCCTTTACTTGCAGCCACAACATTTTGAACTCTGCTTCATCTCAAATCATGACTCTTCCAGATCTCTTTTATAAGGACCCTTGTGAGCCAAGTAATCTCCCCATCTCAAGACACTAAATTCAGTCACACCTACGAAGTCCCTTTTGCCATGTAAGGTAACATGATCACAGGTTACAGGAGCTAGAACAGGGACATCTATCTTGGGGGGGGAGCATTTTTCTGTCTATCATAATTTAGTACTTACTGCCATTCACTTTCACCTTTGAAGAGTTGAACTAATTTAACCTAATTATAATAAACATCCATGTTTTAATTACCACACATCTGCAATGAAGACTTTCCAGAAAAATCCTGCCTTAGCTAATTAATATGCATTTCGATTACATCTAAAAGGGGGTGGGGAGGGGAACCTCTGTGGGCTAAGACTTTCCTACCTCTAGGCAAAACTCTCCAGGAAGGGGAAGAACACTTTGAAAACAGGAAAAAAAAGATGAAATAATATGCACTTTTTTTTTCTATGTTAGCAGTTCTATCTTCCCTCTTGTCAAACATTAAGCTACATGTATTTCCTCCCCTTCCCCTTCTCAAGCTTCCCTTCAAGTGAAGCGATTCAATGAAGACAGTGAAACCAGGTCTTTGAAGACTGTGGTAGACTATAACAAACACATTTTTTCTTCTGGCTCATGTTTAACCAGGTGTCAGGGAAATCAGTGACAAAATGTCATTGAGAATATAGCATTCTGATTTTTCTACCACATAGAGGTTAAGATGCATGGTGGTTAAGACCATAAGCTTTGTTAAGATAAACCCAGAGTTAGGTCTCTGATATGCAATCACCAGCCCAGTGAGAGTGGACAAGTTTCTCCATGAAGTCTCTAATCTGTTTCTTTCACTTAATGTCATATGGATATGAGTTTTTTTTTTCATGTGCTCAAAGTTTTATGATGGTCATTTATTTTATGATGGTCATTATTTTTGACCATCATAAAATACTGAGCTAACTGGCCTGCCTAGGGCTTAACGTGACTTTCCGGCACAGCTTAGAGTAAAATGTTTCATGTTTGCTAGTCTTGAGTTCTTCCCACTCAGCTTCTCTGGTTTGAAATGTTCAGGCAATACCTTTCACAGACACACTCCTGTACACTCATCTGAGGTCAAACCACAATCTTCAAGTGGCAGTTTAAGAGTCAAGGCGGTGTACCAAAGCCATAGAACTCACAAGTAGATTTGGCAGCCTCAGAGTTTATTTCCCACCCCCTTGTCCCTTCTGTGCCCACTCATTTCCACAACCTCCCAAATCCCCCCTTTACCTCTACAGAGAGCAAGTGTTTAAAACAATACAAGGACTAAGATTCTGTTACCATAATCATTCACTGAAGCTATGCCTTGAAAGTCAGTATTAAAAGAGAAAGCTGTGTGTGTTAGGTAAACACACCTCTTTAGAGAATCCAGATTCTCCTTGGCTGTGCTCCTCAGGCACAGGAACCCAGGAAGCAGAGCAAAAGAGCAAGAAAAGGTCAAGCCAGAAACCCAAACATCTTACTTCCCCAGTCTTCCAACTCTCCTTCCGTAATACCAATTAAGAATCAGGACTTGGGGCCAACAGGTGGCATGGTGGTTGGGGTGCTGCAGTCCCACATGGCCAATCGTGATCCGAGTCCTGGACCTGGACTGGTCATACTTAGCCACAACCTGAAGCCATGGGAGTCTTTCCCTTGGGACTTCTAGAATGCTCACTGCACAGACTCTATGGTCTTTTATTGCTGAACTCTCCAGCCCTGAGCCCCCTGGTTCCTCAAAACTATTGTCTGCACATTCACCTCTTAGAGTTGAGTGCCAACTGCCCAAAACTCTGGTACCTGCCCACCTCTCCTATGATAGCTGAATTTTCTGGATATGTATCATTGCAAAAGTGGGTTAATAGTTACTTACTCTATTGTCTTTATTTTTGGAGAGCTTTCTAGCTTAGACACCTGCCCCGCCTTAGCTTTCTGTATACAGGTAGACACTCACACACTCACACGAACATCCTGACCCAACAGTCCCAAGTCCCTCAATCTACCCTGACCTACCAGCTTCACAAAGGTGAAAGAACAAGGCCTAATAGTATAAAGGACTTCAAGGAAATGAACCCCACAACACTTCTCTCTCTATTTCACTTCCTTGCTGCCCCCACAGTACAAAGGGTAGATATTTGAAAGTAACAAATGACTGCACAGGCACCATAGGCCCATGTATGCTTGTATAAAATGATGATTCTCCTGGCCACATTCCGCTTTCTATTTTCCAGTTCACCTCTCTGCAATCTTTACTGACTCAAGCTCTAAAAACTCATCTGAAATTGTGGCTCTTCCTTCAGGCACAACCATTAAATGCGTTGACTTAAAAGAGCCTCACAAAAGACATCTTGGGCTGGCAAGTGGCATGGTGGTTACGGGTGCTAGACTCTCACATGGCCAACTACAGTTCAAGTGGTGGCTCTTTTTCTCACTTTCCATGTCTCTCTCTCTCTCTTTCTCTCCGACTCTCTGTCCCTCTCTGGTCAAATTAAAATAAACAAACAAATAAATAAATAAATAATAAAGTTAAATAAAATAATTATTTTAAAAAATACATATCTCTATTTTTATATCCCACTTTTTTTAAAGAATTATTTTATTTAACTTTATTATTTATTTATTTATTTGTTTGTTTATTTTAATTTGACCAGAGAGGGACAGAGAGTCGGAGAGAAAGAGAGAGAGAGAAGTGAGAAAGCAAGCTGCCAGGTCCAGGACTCAAACCGTAGTCAGCCATGTGGGAGTCCAGCACCCTTAATCACCACACCACCTGCCAGCCCCCATTCTACTTTTCATTACACGAATATTTATCTAAAATTTTTATTTTCAATACACAGTTGATGCTATGTAACCTACATTAAAATTTTCCTCAGAAAGAAAGAAATATACATTTCAATAATCATGAGTTAATGATTATTTCATTATAATTTTACAGATTGTACAAAAGGAAAAAGTTAAAAATAAATGTTTGAAAATAAGATGTGTTGGGGCCAACAAGTGGCACGGTGGTTAAGGTGTTGGACTCCCATACGGCCAACTGCAGTTTGAGTCATGGACCTGGCAGCTTGAAAATCATTTCAGGCGCATGTACGTGTATGCCCAAAATCCCAGGAGGACAATGAAAGACAAAGGATTACAGAGTGACCATCTTCCCTGGGGCAGGGGGGTGGGGGAGAGGATTTCTCTCTTGCCCCCTCACTGTGTCTCTCTGTCCCTCTCTGGTGAGCACACGTGTCAAAAACCTAAAAAAAAGAAGAAAATGTGTGCAGCATCAAATAAGCAAAACAAAAGTAGAGAAATTTGTAACACGTTTTGTATTTTACAAAATATCAATTCTAAATCTCACTGGTGATACCCATGGCAAATAACATTTATCAGTCTCTAAACTTAACACCCAGACCCTAGTCTAAGCATTTTATAAACATTGCCCCATTTAATCCTCTTGTCTACCTTCTGTAGTAAATATCATTATTACCTCCATTTCACAGTCGAGAAAATGGAGCCAAAGAGGTTAAGTAAATTGTCCAAAGTCACACAGCTGATAAATGATAGAGACAGGATTTAAGCCCTGGAAATCTCAAAGCATTTCTAACTCTTAGCTATGTGTCTGGTCTCCACTGCCTACTTTTCAACTCTGTCTTGTCTCCAAGAAATCTCCCACTCTCCTAGCTCCTCCTGAATCTTCTCATCTACTCATTTACTCTTTCTTCCAGTGGACACTCCGTCAACTTCATAGCTGATCTGTATTGTTTGAATAAATAAAGTGATCTGTCACCACTCAGGATTTGCATTAAGATGACTCTCTGCTGCCCTCTGGAGATAATCTGGTGAAACCAATGCTAACGAAAAATTTATTCAGTGAATTCAATAAGAGCTGCGCTTTGAAATGTTGATCACAAGGCAGGCTACCATGTCTAAACATTGCACACTTAATTTACACCTCTTGGAAACTAACTAAACACAACAAATTACTATCTGATGAATAGAATTGATGTTATGGTCTGAAGAAGTTTACTGAGAAAGACAATAATGAAGCTTTTGTGTTGCCAGACAGTTTAATAAAAATAAATAAATGGATGGATGGATGATAAATTCCAGGCCTCATTTGCAGGGAAATTTAAAGATTGCCATCATCGGGTACCTTAGGTAAAGTCTGAAATGAACCTTAATGAAGTTTTTTTTTTAAGAATTATTTTACTTAAATTCATTTATTATTATTATTATATTATTATTTTAAATTGACCAGAGAGAGTTGAGGGGAGGGGGGGATGAGAAACTAAGCCACCAGGTCTGGGACTTGAACTGTGGTCGGCCATGTGGGAGTCCAGCGCCTTTAACTACCATGCCACCTGCTAGCACCAAAGGATGGTTCTTAAGGAGTAACCTCCAGCATTTCTTATGGAAACAAAGGACAGAAACTTAAGTGAGCAGGAAAAGAAGTCAAAGTTAGACCCATGCCTGGCTCAGCTAATTCCACAGGGATCTTTGGAACTTGGACTCCTCTTTAGTGTCCTCTG